AGTGAGCAGCGGGGGGGCTGCTGCTGACATCGCATGACCCGGAGGAACCATCCGATTCGCTCCGAGAGTCAGCAATAAGGAAAATTACAAGATGGCGTCGTCCAGCGTGTAGCGACCTGCCACTGAAAAATACTCCTCGGCGTTTACCTTGAAACAAGACTGCTCATCTGCTTCTCCTCGGGGAGGAGAACTCACCGAGACGACAGGAGGTTGACGTGGCGGGGCCACAGGCAGTCTTAACAAAGGTTGGTCAAGGTAGACAACTATCCTTCTTCGTTCTTCTGACACTGCTATTAGCTTGCTGAAGAAAAATGGGAGCCGATTACCCGCTCTTACCGTAATTTATCCGGACCGGGTGGGGCCCACACAGCAAGTGGGCGAGGACTAAATTTTTCAGTGCAATGCTTCACATGTCGGGATAAACCCACTAAACGACAGCTCTTAAAGGGCGAAGCCTATACGAAATAGAATCTGTGTACAGTAGTTTTTTCTGCCTGTCCAACTTCACGTAGCCACTCCTCCTCTCTCGCTTAATACAAACAGCCCCTCACTGCTGCTTCACACACAATTACTAACGTAATGAAGGCGGCACAGCTGGGGAGGATTATTATTTATGTAAATAAATGTCTAAAAAACTTTTTTCCGCAGCTCCCTTCTTCAGGGCACAGCAAACTAAGTCACATGAACTAAGTTTAAAAAACAAGCTTTAATATATGTAAATAGTTAAATTTTTAAACATTTATTTTGTAGTTACAGCTGTTGATGATAAATGTGCCTGTTTGACAATTGGGACAAAGCTTTGACTTGGAAATATATTTTTGTTATTAATTTATGGAATGAAAAATATATAAAGATATATATCGTATATCGCAATTTATCTTAAAATATCGAGATATTAATTTTGGTCCATATTGCCTAGCCCCAGTCGTTAACTGAACCAAACTCAAGCTGGTTTTACCAAAAAGTGGCGGGGCCATCTGAACAAGAACTGCTCCACTCTCAGGTCAGTCACATGACAGATAAGTAAAGCTTTTGTTACCATGGTTACCTACCGTTGTCTTGGAAATACTGCTGGACCACATCTACCATCCAATCTGCTTTCTGCTGTCCATACACACCCCCAAACCCATTGTCCACGGCGATCTGAAACACGTTTTCAAAGTTAACTTTATTTAGACAGGAAGTAGAAACAGACTTACAATGAAAACCTAGAAGTCCTTGAAGGAATGAATGTTGATGGTAGGATGTGGACAAACTTTGACACTAAATAATATTGCAGACACACAGTGGACACGTCTGACAACAGGACAAAGTGAAAATGTTTGGCAATAGGACACGGTGGAAATGTCTGACAATGGGACACAGTGGACACACTTGACAATGGGACACGGTGGACAAGTTTGCCAATGGGACACGGTGGACACGTTTGACAATGGGACATGGTGGACACGTTTAACAACAGGACAGTGAAAACGTTTGACAATGGAACACAGTGGACAAATTTGGCAATGAGAAACGGTGGAAACATCTGACAATGGGACACGGTGATGAAGTTTGACAACTGGACATGGTGGAAACATTTGACAAGGGGGAACAGTGGACACGATTAACAATGGGACACAATGGGCAGGTTTGACAATGGGATACAGTGAACAAGTATGACAATGGAACATGGTAGACACGTTTGACAATGGGACACATTGCATCAGGGAGCAGTGACTTAGATCATCTGGTTGATAATTTTACAACTTCAATGCAAACTTCACTTGATAAAATTGCTCAGCTGGAAAAGAAAGTAATCAATCAAAGGAAACTGGCTCCTTGGTTCAATTCTGAGTTACGTACTTTAAAGCAGGCATCTAGAAACCAGGAGAGAAAATGGCGCTCTACTAATGTTGAAGAATTTTATTTAACTTGGAAAGATAGTCTGTTAACATATAAAAAAGCTCTCCGTAACGCTAGAACTTTATATTACTCATCTTTAATAGAGAATAAAAACAACCCTAGGTTTCTGTTTAGTACTATTGCTAGACTAATTAAAAGTCCCATTTCTGTTGAACCATGTATCCCTACAACTATAAGTAGTGATGACTTCATGAGATTCTTTATAAATAAAATTATTTCAGTTAGAGAGAGAATTCAAACCATCCTTCCTTCTACTATCTCTAGTCCCCTGTCAAATGAGGCAACTTTAAAAATTTCACTAGAACCTGATTTGTGTTTGGACAGTTTTGTCCTGTTGAGCTCTCTGAATTGTCAAAAATAATAACCTCATCCAAACCATCCGCATGCCTGCTAGATCCCATCCCAACCAGACTGTTTAAATTGTGCTTATTTTAATTCACCACGGGCCTCGGGGAGAGGGGGAGGCACAGCAACTGTTTACAAACAGGACTACAAATGTAAGCAGTGTTTTCTACAGACGTCTTTTCCCAGCTTTGAGTTTACGTCTTTTGAGATGAGACACGTAAACCCAGTTTTCTGTGCTGTCGTCTACCGGCCCCCCAAATATAACAAGGATTTTTTAAGTGACTTTTCTGACTTTTTATCTGGGATTTTAACTAATTATGACAAAGTTCTTTTTGTTGGAGACTTCAATTTGCACGTGTGCTGTCCTGATAAGCCTCTGGTAAAGGACTTTTTAAGCCTTCTGGACTCTTTTAATCTGGTACAGGCCGTATCCGGCCCTACACATGAACATGGACACACATTGGACCTGGTTATTTCCTGTGGTCTGCCAGTGACTAATCTGGAAATCTGTGACGCTGTGTTCTCGGATCACCTGCCTGTTTTATTCAGTGTCACTTTGACACCTACTACAGTTAAAACTCGCGCTGCTGTTCGGCGCTGTCGGATTATTAACCCTTCCACTGCCACTCAGTTCTCTGCTGCTTTTCTTCAGCTCTGTGGATCATCTGACTTCCTCCACTCCAATACAGAAGAGCTCTGGTCATGGTTCTGTTCTTCCTGTCAGACCATCCTGGACTCGGTTGCTCCGTTAAAAACTAGGCAGCCAAGGATTAAACCTGAGCCTTGGTTTAATGACAGAACTCGTGCTGTAAGGAAGGAATGTCGTCGTATTGAACGCAGATGTCCCCGGACTGTCCCCGGACAAGGTGAGGAGAGCATTCAGCAAGATCAACGCTCGGAAAGCTCCTGGTCCCGACAACATACCTGGTCGCGTGCTGAAGGACTGCGCTGGCGAATTAGCAGAGGTGTACTCTGACATCTTCAACACCTCACTGAGCCAGGCTGTGGTCCCCACGTGCTTCAAAACCACCACCATAATCCCTGTCCCCAAGAAAACGTCTCCCTCCTGCTTCAACGACTACCGCCCGGTTGCACTCACTTCCATCCTCATGAAGTGCTTCGAGCGACTAGTCATGCAACACATTAGGTCCTCCCTCCCCCCCTCCCTGGACCCCTACCAGTTTGCATATCGGTCAAACCGCTCGACTGATGATGCCGTCGCCACTGCTCTTCATTCAGCCCTCACACATTTGGACAAGAAAGACACCTATGTCAGAATGCTCTTCATTGACTTCAGTTCTGCATTCAACACAATCATTCCACAACAACTCATCTGGAAACTGGACAGTCTGGGTCTGAACACATCACTGTGCAACTGGCTGCTTGACTTCCTTACCGGAAGACCACAGGCAGTACGGGTTGGCAGCAACACATCCAGCATCATCACTCTGAACACGGGGGCCCCACAAGGATGTGTGCTGAGCCCCCTTCTGTTCACTCTACTAACCTACGACTGCTCTCCATCACACCCCTCCAACCTCTTCATCAAGTTTGCGGACGACACGACTGTGGTAGGCCTCATCAGCAACAACGATGAGTCACTCTACAGGAGCGAGGTGAGCCGGCTGGTCTCCTGGTGCAAACGCAACAATCTCTTGCTGAACACAGAGAAGACCAAGGAGATTGTTGTGGACTTCAGGAGAACTCAGACAAAACATGCTCCACTATCCATCAACGGTGTTGTTGTGGAAAGGGTGAGCAGCACCAAGTTCCTGGGTGTGCACATCTCTGAGGACCTCTCCTGGACCATCAACACAGCAGCAGTGGCCAAAAAGGCTCACCAACGGCTCTACTTCCTCCGCAAGCTGAGAAGAGCGAGAGCCCCCACCCCCATCATGACAACCTTCTACAGGGGGGCCATCGAGAGCATCCTGATGAGCTGCTCCACTGTGTGGTACGGGGCCTGCACAGCATCCTGCCGCAAATCCCTCCAGCGGATCGTGAGGACAGCTGAGAAGATCATTGGCACCTCTCTCCCCTGCCTTCAGGACCTCCACAGCTCTCGCCTCAGAAGTAAAGCCCTCTGCTGGGTGGGAGATCTTGACCACCCGCTACACTGCTTCTTCAACCTGCTGCCATTAGGGCGGAGACTGCGTAGCCTCAGTTCTAGGACCAGCAGACTGTGGAACAACTCAGTCCATCAGGCCGTGAGGATGCTGAACTCTCTGCCTGCCCCCCCCCAGCCCCCTCTCCCCCTTCTGCCCCCCCGCACCCCCCCACCCCCACCTTCCACCCCCCCCCCCCCCCCCCTTCAAAACTGCTCTGGGACATTTATTTATTTTTATGAATAGTTTATGAACTCGGTCACTTTAACAGCCTACAAGCTCACTCTACTGTTTATTGCATTATATTTTGCACTACTGTTATGATCAACTCGTCCTGTCTATTCTGGTAATTCTGGTATTGTCATTTCCACTTAATCACCTCATCAGTACATAACTGTGACTCTATATAGAACCGGTATGCACACCTTCACTTTACTAAGTTTCTCAGGTTTATACTTTATATTGCACTATTGTTTACTCTGGCCTTGCACATCCATTATCTACCTCTCATCATGTTATTGTCTTCAGTCAGCGTCCCTTTGTCTCCTGTTAGTCACTATTGAGCACGTTGCATCAGAGGTCCTGCTGCTGTTCACTTTTATTTATTTATTTTTATTTTTTTATTTTTTTTTTATTTTTTATTTTATATAACTAGTTGTGTTAGTTTATTTTTGCTAATGTTGTTGTTTGCTGCAACTTGAGTAGGAGTGTAACGCAATTTCAATTTCTATGTATGTCCTGTACATATGCAGAATTGACAATAAAATCAATCAATCAATCAATCAATCAGATGGAAAAAGGACAAACTGCAGGCTACTTTTCAGATTTTAAAAGACTGTTGGCGTCTCTACCAGAGCACGGTTAAAGAAGCAAAAAGGGAATATTTGGCTAGTGTTATTTCTTCAAACAGCCATAACCCACGTGTTTTATTTGACACCATTGACTCTGTGCTTAATATTCCACAAAATGCCTGTTTGGAAGCTTCTCCTGGCATGTGTGAAAATTTTCTGCGTTTCTTTATTGAAAAGGTTGGTAGTACCAGGGCTCTTATTACAGCTCCTGACTCTGACCCCTCAGTTTCAGTCCCTTGCTCTGCTGTTTTTAATCAGTTTGAGCTTGTGACTGTTTCACTTTTAGAGGACGTAGTTGGCCGCATTAAGCCATCAGGTTCCCCACGTGATCCTGTCCCTCCACGACTTTTTAAAGATATTTTATCTAGTATAGGGCTGCCTGTTCTTGCAATTTTAAATGGCAGTCTGTCCTTAGGTGTGGTCCCTGCTAGTTTTAAACATGCAGTGGTGCAGCCCCTGCTTAAAAAACCTGGCCTTGATCCAACTGTTCTGGCTAATTATCGGCCTATTTCAAAGCTGCCTTTTCTTTCTAAGGTTTTAGAGAAACTTGTATACTGTCAGCTGACAGTTTTTAAATGACAATGGCATTCTGGAGGTTTTCCAGTCAGGTTTTAAAACTCTCCACAGTACAGAATCTGCTTTAATTAGAGTTTTTAACGACATCCTTCTTGATTGTGATTCTGGTAATCATGTTGTTCTGATTTTACTTGACCTAACTGCTGCTTTTGATACAGTGGACCACAACATTTTAATATCGCGATTACGACATATTGTTGGTATTGATGGCACTGTTCTTAAATGGTTTAAGTCTTACTTGGAGGAGAGAACATTTTCAGTGAAAATTAATGACTCTGAATCATCTTCAGTTCCAATGCAATATGGTGTCCCGCAGGGCTCAATTCTGGGCCCTATGCTCTTCTCGTTGTACTTACTGCCTCTGG